ACTGTGATGAATGCTTGAGCTATATATCAATACTCATTTTTGGGGTCTGTCTATATAAAAGAAAAATAAGTAGAAGGAAAGAGGAAAAAGATATACCTCCCTTGCATGTTTTTTAAGATCCTACTATGTGGTCCTCCTTGACTTTCATGCTTTGAAGTTCCAGTCATATGCTCTGTCTGGTACTCTGGTTACAAATTTAGTTACTAGCACAGTTTATAGCTAACACAGACAACATATGTTTCTGGCTTAATTTTGATGCAAGGTATGCCAATTTACGAGTCTGTTAAATTTGTATTTGACATATAATGTCAAATTAGTTCTGTGCCAAACCAACACTTAAATCTGTACCCAGTTATCTTATCTTGGAGGAAACTCTGCTGCCCGCCGCTACTGCCGGCTGAAGATCCTCGCTGGTACTTCGCAATGTCTACGCCGGGAGATACATGTGATGCGCTAAGCGATATCACCAACATCGCATGTATGATTTCAGTATAAACAACACTTTTGTCTGAACTATGACATCTGAACTTTTAGATGTTTACAGAGACACCTTTCATTCAGCGGGTTGAATGGAGATGTATCATTTTACTTTGCCAAAGTCAAAGCACTCGAGTATTTATAACTACATGTTTTCAGTCACGTTAATTCTGCAGTGAATTTTAGTCAGTGAAGATAAATTTGTGTTTCTGAATTCTGATATATATTTAGGGATTTATCACACAATAAGTTGGAGGGCTCAATTCCTAATGTCTTTTCACAGCTGCCATCCCTCATGGTTATGTGAGTTTTCTGATCCCTGATGAATTTCATGTCTTAGAGTTTAGCTATAAATAATTGCTAATACTAATCTAATCATTATATACTACTGAAAAACGATTTTTAGACTGGTCTATAATTTTTAGGACTACACTACTTGATTTATGGTGGAGGCGGGCGCCTGCTGGATGCTCGGCCTGCAGCACCAGGATCGTCGCTGCCATTGCTTGCTCTTTGCGAGTTTTACTGATGGGTACAATTTATGAATGACAGGTGTCAGGAGCTGTTATGACGAAAAAATTAATAATTTAGCTTATTATCTGTCATGTACAGCTATCAACTTCACTGAGGATGGAATTCTTGGCGGACATTTTGAACAGCCGTGCAAACGAATGTTTTGACAGCTTCTCTAAAGATCTCCAAGTCATAATTAAGGACTTAGGCAGAATGTAACTTAGATGGTTAATATGAGAAATAACTTTACTATAACTTCTTATGCAAAAGTGTTTCTCGGATTATAAACATGCTCAAATACAATTGTGTAAAAGTTAAACTATGAAAAAAAATTATTGGTTGTTTTCATGTGGATTCCCAAGATAAAATCGTGGCGTTAGCACGGGCATTATACTAATAATATACTAATGCAAGCAAAATTGCTAGTATTAGGATACATAGTTTTTGATGCTATCACGAAATTATAAGTTTGATAAGTCAGAGATTCAAAATCATGATAAAAGGAGGCTTTGAGTGGAGTTTCTAAAATTTCAAAAAGAGTATATTTTTCACAAAACCATGACTTTATAAACTATCGGCGTGTTTAGTTGGCCGGAATTTGGACGTGCAAAGTTTGCACAGTGTCAGATTCCCTATTGTAGCATTTCGTTTGTATTTGGTAATAATTGTCCAACCGTTGACTAATTAGGCTCAAAATGTTCATCTTGCAAAGTTCAACCAAACTGTGCAATTAGTTTTTAATTTCGTCTACTTTTAATATTTCATGCATGTACCGCAAGTTTGATGTGACGGAAAATCTTGTTTTTGTATAGTATCAAAGTTAAGAGTTTGGGAGAAACTAAACAAGGCCTATATATGATTTGTCATATCCAAGCACCCTGCAACTTTACTCTGCATCCAAATAAGGCTTTAGCCGCGAATCCTCGATTCAGCCAAGGACGTGTCTGCAAAAACCCACACGCGCACCGGCGCACGTCGTCTCCTCTTCCTCGTCGAATCGCGCGCATCTCCGCTCCACAACCTTCTTGATTTTCTGAAGCTTGGGCGGGAATTCGTCTCGCCTCGCCTCGCCTCTGCGTCTCTCTATGGCGCCGCGGGGCCACCACCTGGCGGAGGTGGCCCTCCTCGCCTCCGCCTCGGCGGACCTCGCAGCCGCAGGCGTCGGCGAGAGGGAGGGGTGGCTGGACGACCCCGCCGTCCTCCCTTCGCTCGGGCCGCGCGCGCGCGCCCTCGCCGTGGCCAGCGCGGCGCGGTCCGTGCTCGTGATCGTCCCGGTAGCGGGAGGTGGAGGCGGCGGGGTCACGGTGAAGTCTGCGCTGGGGCCCGACGAGGGCCGAATCTCCGCCGTTGAATGGGTCCCGCTCGCCGGGGAGGACGACGCAGAGGGGGACGAGGGGGTCGCCGTGGCGGTCGGCACGGACGCTGGGTGGCTGCTGTTTCATATATACTCTGAAATAATCAAATTTGAACGGATTCCATGCGTGCGACAGGGGCTTACAGGACTCCTGTGCCGCCAGAGCCAACAAGACTCGAACGGATTCCATGCGTGCGACAGGGGCGAAAGCATCATCATAATCCACGCCTTCTTGCTGGACAAAGCCACGAGCGACAAGTCTGGCTTTGTGTTTGATAACATTACCGTGTTCGTCCTTCTTCAATTTGAACACCCACTTCAGGGTGATTGGACGGTGGCCAGCAGGAGGCTTCACAAGCTCCCAGGTCTTGTTTCTCTCTACTGATCGCAGCTCTTCTTTCATTGCTGCGCACCACGCTGGATCTCTCTTGGCTTCAGTATGCGAAGTTGGTTCGCCAGAGTGCGTTAGATGCAGCTCTGCGAACAGGCGAGTTGCAGGTGGCGGTGTGGGCTGCTGGCCAATGATATTGCTGACAGTTCTGTAGCGAAGTGGTTCATCCTCGTGATAAGCATCCAGTCGATCATCATCATCCTCCAGAGGCGTGGCATGCTCAATCTGAGGACTTGGTGGCGGTGGTGACACTTCCAGTGCCGCTGGAGCAGAATTAGCTTGAGGATGAGTTGATGCGGAGCCCTCTGCTCCTTCAACTCCAATTGGGCTGTTTGGTGCGGGTGTTCTTGGTGAATCCGGGAGCAGAGGCGACGACGGCGGCGCTGGTTCGCTCGCCTCCTCTGACCAGACATACTCAACTGTGAATTCACTGCTGTTCACAGCTGATGGCCCAGATTCCGGCGAGGACCAATCCCAGCCATGTTCTTCATCAAATACAACATCACGGCTGATCCTGACACGCCCGCTCACAGGCTCAAACACCCTATATGCCTTAGCTCCTTCTGCATAACCAATAAACACGCCGGCCTCGCCGCGGTCATCAAGTTTGCGCAGCTGACTGAGCTTCCTTGTGTATGCCACACACCCAAACACTTTCATGTGTCCCAGAGTTGGTGAACGTCCATGCCAGGCCTCATATGGGGTGATCCCCTTCAACGCACGTGTCGGTGATCGGTTCAGTATGTGGACTGCTGTCATCACAGCCTCCCCCCAAAACCGAGCTGGCAGGCCCCTCTGCTTAAGCAGTGCCCTTGCCATGGCCACTACTGACTGATTGCGCCGTTCAACTACCCCATTCTGCTGAGGTGAGTGGGGAGCACTGAAGTGCCTCTTAATGCCTTGTTCTGCGCAGTAGGTAGCGAAATCAGCAACTGTGAATTCTCCTCCATTATCGGTGCGAAGCACCCTGATTTTCTGACCACTCTCCGCCTCTGCGCTCAGTTTGATGCGCTTGATGGCTTCTGCTGCTGCATCCTTGCTTGGTATGAGCGCTGCCCACATGAAACGGCTAGCGTCATCGACGAGCAGCAGGAAATATCGATTCCCTCCAGGTGTTGCAGGTGTCACTGGTCCGCAAAGATCGCCGTGCACCAGCTCAAGGGGCTGTTTGGCACGGTACTGTGTTGCAGCTGGGAACGGGCGCCTTCTCATTTTGGTGGTGACACAGGTGTCACACACCTGCTCCACATGGTCAATAACCGGGACACCGCGCGCCATTTCCTCCTTCCCAAGTCTGCGGAGTGCATCAAAATTCAAATGCCCCATCCTCTCATGCCACTGCCACGCTACATCTCCTCTGCATGCTGCAAGACAAAGTGGCTGGGCTGCATGAAGTTGGAGTGTGTACAATCTGTTAGCCCCTCTCTTCACCTTGGCAATCAAACGGCCAGTGTGTTCCCAGATACGTAACACGTCGTGATATATCTCCACCTTGGAGCCAGTCTCGTCAAGCTGACCCAGACTGATAATGGAGTTCTTCAGGGCTGGTATATAGTACACGCCCTGCAGCACTCTATGCTCACCAGTTCTTCCTTCGAAAGCAATCGAACCGATGCCTTTGATGTCAACCTTGGACGCATCTCCAAATCGGACCGTGCCTCGCACGTCCGTGTTCAAGTCAGAAAAGAGCTCACGCCGTCCAGTCATATGGTGTGTAGCTCCTGAATCAAGGTACCACACATCTGCCTTTTCTTCATCGCCATTGGCACCAAGGAAGGCGCGGGCTTTTGGTTCTTCCAGATTCACCTCTTGAGCAGCATAGGTGTATGCCGGCGTGCACTTATCAAGATCAACGAGCCCATGCGCCAGAAACAGAGCCCCATCATCCTCGCATTCTGCATACTGCACACGGCCATTGTGGCCGCCGTCACCGCCGCCTGCGCCCCCTCGGCCACCAGCGTGCTGGCCTTGATTGCCACCGCGGCCGCCGCCACGACGGCCTCTGCCCCGTCCGCCGCCGCGGTCACCGCCACCATCACGGTCACCATCTCTGTCTTGCCGTGGATGAGGGCGATCTCTTGCCCGATGGGCCCTCCCGGCCACAATTGTGGCGGAGTATCGCCACAGCGTCCACCATCGCGCCGCCGCCCGGCCCTTTCTCGCCCGACGCGCCGCGGCGCCACCACACCGCCGCCTTTGGCGCCGCCGCTTTGATTCTTTGAACTAGAGCAGCGAGAATCATCCCCGCCCCCTTCTTCTCCTTCTTCAACAGGCGCGCCATTGCTCCTCAAGATACATGAGCTTGCCGCCGACGGTGATTGGCTCGGTAGGCGCTTGCTCTTCACGGTCATCAACAGCCTTTGAGCCTCCGATGGCTTCCTCAAGCGTGAGCATGTCAAAGTCCGAAGCGCTCAATAGCAACCACAATCTGCGATACCGGACGGTATCATGACGCAGATACTTCTCCACCACACGCCTCTCATCGATGTCCTGATCACCATGAAGGACAAGCTGTCGATGCAGAGTTGAGAGGCGGAAGGCAAAATCTTCGACGCTCTCTCCTGACTTGACACTGATGTTCTCCCAGTCGCGGCGGATGCGTTGCAGCGTCGCGCGGCGGACCCTGTCCACGCCGATGCGCGCAGCAGCTATGGCGTCCCACGCCTCCTTCGCCGTCCGCTTGTCGATGAGCGGAATCCCCATCTCCTTGGGAACCGCTGCGACAATCGCCTCCATAGCCCGCCGGTCGTCGCGGAACGAGACCCGCTCTCCTTCAACTGCGTCCCACAGATCGCGGGCCTGCATTCGCAGTTTCATCTCTTGGCTCCATTCGTGGTAGTTCGTTTTGGACAGCATCGGCCAGTTCGTGCCGCTGCCCGAGTCCCTGTATACGACCCTGTCGTACACAGGCGACTCCCGTCGCCCGCCACCGCGGCCACGCCTGCGGACTGGCGGAGATGGAGACCTCCGGCGCGAGCTCTTGACCTCCTCCTCTCCTTCTTCATACTCCAGCTCCTCTTCTTCCTTCTCTGCTGCAATCTCCTCCCTCAGCACCCGCGCGGTCCTTGCCGCCTCCTCTGCAGCCGCCGCCGCCTGCCGCGCTGCCTGGACCGCCTGCGCAGCTGCCTCCTCTGCAGCTTTCAAGCGCGCGGCCCGGCCAGAGGAGTCCTCCGCATCGCTGACGCCCTTGGCAGCCTTCCTTCGGCGCTCAGAGGATGTCGAGGCCATGGATGAGAAAGCAGGGAAGGGGGCTCGAGTAGAAGATGAGAGAGAGGTGTCTAACCTAGGCTCTGGTACCAATTGTTGGAGGTACAGAGTGTTTTACTCAGCCAGGGATTATACACCCAGGCGACTGCTCTTTCATATATAGGAGATAAGTAGCACATTGATTACATTGATGGCTCATTAGAGCATTAACTAAACAGCTAACTGCCTGGGTACTTGCACAGTCACTTGTGCTGCCCAAGGCCTTAATAGCAGAAACATAAATAAGCACAGATAACTAAGTGATAACTGGGAGCAGGACTTAACTTCTACATATATATCCTGCAAAGATACTGAAACTCAACTTTCGTGAGAGGAAGGAGAACGCTTGGGAAGATTCAGGCTCTGATGAACTTTCTGCAGTGTTTCCTGGTGTTATCGCACGCTTTGATGGTGCTGACCTTCAGGTTTGTGTGAAACCCTCACCCTCTATCTCTGTATAAGAACCAGAGAATTTGGTGCTCAGTCACCAGTGATGGTCAGGATTTCTGTGCATGTTCAATGATAATAACTGATTTCTTGGTTGCTCACAGAGCATTCTTAAAAAAACATTTCAAGATGTGAAATCACGCCTGTGGAAAGATAAGTTTGAAGAGCTAGATGCTGAGGATGAGGAAACCTTTGGACGGATACCCTTCCAGATTTGGAATGTAAGCAAGTTCAGTTCATGTGCTGATGCTGCAATTGTTGGTCTGATGCCACCTCCCTTGTTAGAACTTCAGGTGACTTACTGGCGCATCATTCTTCTATTGTTATCAGATATAACTGTTACATGAACTTATTATTATGCCTTTACCATTTGGTTTTATCATATCCTGATTCTCTTAAAAGCTACCTTTAGTGGAAGTTTTCTGAAGCCACGATTATATTGAATTCAGCTGCTTTTATATTGCTGGGCAGTCAAGTCAGCGCCACTACTGTGCCATCACAGTTGGAGAGGATGCTGTAGTTTCAGCATATAGGTGAGTTTCACTACGCAATGGGTTTTGCATTTCTGGTTGAGGTGATCATGATACTAGCTGTGACTTCCATTATGAGTTCTATGGATATGGTGTGTCCAAGACATGATAGTGCCTGTATTATTCATGTGCAACTGTACTTTGTGTATTATGTTTCACAGTTCAAATTATATTGCAAGTTTGCAACAGAAAACTAGCTATGATAGCTTCCATTCAAATTTGAATTGCAATAAGTCCATACTATTGTTTCTCTAGATGTTGGCTTTGGAAAGTTAGCAGATGATGTTGCCATATTGTTAGTTTTACAAATCTTCTAACTTTTTGTTATTCTGTAGACTATCAGAAGATAGAAGCAGGTCAATTGTTGGAGCAATTTTGTCAAGAGGTGTAGCTGCAACATTTTCGACAATATCATCTTTGTCCAAAATACTATGGCGGAGTGAGCCATCACCACCTAAAAAGTCAAGGCCAAAGCCTCAATCCTTTGCAAAAAGTAATGGCCGAGTAAGTTTCAATATTCTTAAAAAATATACTGAAGTTTATGCCTAACTGTTACATAAACTGCAGCATCACCCCTCACCTGCTTGAAAGACTCCCCAAGGAAGGGAGAACGGCTTACACTCTCACCGAGTGGTACGCTGGCTGCTATAACTGATTCACTTGGGCGGATACTACTGCTGGACACCCATGCCCTTGTGGCTGTACGGTTATGGAAGGTAATCTCCTTGGTTAAATCTTATTTTATTCTTAATAATTGATCTAAAAGAAATAATGAACCACTGAGTAATATATAACTTCCAATAGTTAGACTACAGTGTTCTGGTGTGGTTTTTAGTTAGTGTCTTTTGGATTAGTTTCTTGTATTTATGTTTCATCTATCACCTTGTGAAATTTCAACTTAAAACCCAACAAAACAGCATGTATGAGAAAACAAAAATGGCAAAGTTGGGATAGTAAAATGGGCTTACCCCTTTTCAAATAGTGTGAACTTGTCTGCCATGCTGGGATCAATCTTTTTTGGATTGCTGAGCGGTTACTGTCCTATAATAGTTGTAAATCGTGGTAGGATCAGGGAAATGCACATAGAAAATATTGTGGTACAAATGCTATTCTCACATCTGATCCAATTGAGCATGATTTGCAATGGATATTGTGAGTAGCAAACCATAGTAATCATGTGCAGTTCTCTGATCATGCCACTGTTGCAACCAATCTTTAAGTGGCTGTTAATGGTATTTGTTGCAACCAATCTGATCCATAAGATTTCAATTGTGTTGATAAATAAATTGTTATCAAATCCTTAAAAAAGGACTCAAGTGTAGCCAAGGACTGTGATGTTTTAAACTTTTAATCCACTTTCATTTTGCTTTGTGCCTAAACGGTTGAAATCCATTGCCTAGCGCTAGAGCCCAGTATAGGTCATTTGCACCAGAACCTTGATAATGCAGAGTGTTTCCTTTTGCATATATCTCGAAACCTTTTGGGTTTTCATTTTTTTATTTTCTGTTATTTTACTGTACAATTTTTTAGGGCTATCGTGACGCTTCATGTGTATTCGTGGAAATGCTTCTGAACAAAGACAAGGCTTCGTCAAGGTCGATGCACATAGAATACACAAAGAGTGACTATTGTTTGTGTTTAGCAATCCATGCCCCACGGAAAGGAATAATAGAGGTAAGTGTCATTGTTGAATGACATTCTGGGGGTGGTTTGATTTTCTGTTGGTATTTAGTCACTTAGAAGAATATGGAATAAATTACATATTTTCTTCAAAGGGTAGTTACTTTCTGGTGGAGCCTTATGGTATTTTGGCCTTATGTATTGTCAGGTTTGGAAGATGCGGACTGGGTCACGCGTCCTAACCATCCCATGCCCCAAAGGAAGCAGAATTTTACAACCCTCAGCGAGGCTCTCAACACAGTCATTCTTATCTTCCTATTCCCCGCTGGAGGTTTACTTGTTCAATGGAGACTCTGGGCAATTGTCAGTTTTGAATAGGCACATTGGATGAATTATTTGTTCTTTTGTGTTGTATTAAATTGTTACTGCCAAGTGCTGTACAGAAATACTTGTTTTGTGATCGTGTTTACAATTTTGTTCATCAAAAAAAAAACGGTGCGTGGGTCAGGATTAAACAAGCGGAGATGAAGCGGACACAGAAACAGAAACTGAGGAACCAGCAACGGGCAGATGAAAACCGGAAGCAGACATGAACGAGGGAGGGGAGGGATGAAAAAAAGAAATTAGGAGAGAAATTCTGGCATAGGTATAGATTTCCTTTTATATACCTCTCTTATTTCCAGCCCGTGGGAACTACCAAAATTTACCCTGCCCCTTATCTCTTCACCACGAGGCCCCGTTCGGTTCGGTTGTCTCGGAACCGGCCATTCCGGACCCAGAAATCTTTCGCGGTAATACAAATTTGTGAAAGATCTGTGCGGCTAGGAATCATTTCCCTGCAACCGAACGGGGCCTGAACGGGAACGCAACTGAAGACCAACCAGACACTACAGGTAGCTCACGTTTCTCCCTCGCTTGTCCTTGACCCATAGCCGGGGCACTTGTGGGCGACCGGAACAGCCTGATCGGACATCCTTCTCTTTCCCAGGCAATTGGTCGTTACATTTCTCTTTACCCCACATTGAACACTTCAAGTACTCTATTCTTTAGCCAAATTCAATTGATCATGGAGGGTGGGGAGCAATAGTAGCCCTGGTCCGGTGATGAAGAAGTCAATTGGGACTAAGCATGGAAGGTGGAGCAGGAACAAGTGAGCAAATGAGTACCCTACGAAGGCCAAGAAGTTCTCCAGCAAAGAGGGATGTGAAGAAAAAGCTCACCCAACGAAGACAGAATTAACTGCTACTCTAACTCATGGAAGCTTTTATAGATGTTGTCAGGGAACATAAACTTGTTTGCTATTCTAGTAATGCTTATTTGCCTCGATGATGCATGTATGTAAGAGCCTGTATGGATGCTGAACTGGATGGTCTGCAAATTTGTTCTGTTGCATTCGCTGCTCATTGTACATGCTGTTATTACCAATGCTTATTATACCATTTCTGGAGAAATGGTCAAATTTCTCTGTTCGCTTGAACTTATCAGCTTGGTTTATCAGTCATGGTATAGTATTTTTCTCTCATAACAAATCAGCGAATAGTACTTTTTAGCCTGGCTTATCAACCAAACGAATATGGAATGTTGCACATAGTTTACACTTGTGGCATTTTCATTGCATTATTGATTATCATCTCATTCTTTTGCACAGACCCATCCAGACGAGCCTCATCCACTCATTCACGGACCCATCCTCATCCACTTGTTCACAGACCCAGCCTACGTCGCACGCCCGCTCTACACTGCGCACCCCCGCTCGTGGGACGACTCCGCTCACCAGCGTTGCCCACCATCGTGGGACGGACTCCACTCACCCGCGCCGCCCCCGCTCGTGAGACGAACTCTGCCTGCGCCGCTTGTTGTCGCCGCCTACGTCGCCAACCGTCTGGACTCGTGCCTCCCGTCGCGGTCGCGCTCCATCCGCATGCCGCGGCCACTGCCGAGGTCCGTGCCACTGCCGAGGTCCGCACCGGCGACCTCCGGGCAATCCGTGGCATCAAGCTCCCCGCTAGCGTCGAGCTCCACAAGGACGAGCTCCATTCGTCCAAACAGTAAGGTGACATTATGCTGAAAGCACGTGTTGCAAGCGTATATTTCGAGTGTTTCAGTTGTTTTAGAGGTATGTTGCAAGTGTTTCGTATGGATGCTGCAAAAGTAAATCGGGATATTGCATATGTTGCAGTAGTTGTATACTTATATTGTAGACGTCTGTCCCCACTCCCTAATGTTTCATCTATTTTTTCAGACGTATGTTGTAAGCTTGTTTATCTAGAAGTTGCATATGTTTTACGCATGTTACAAATGTTTTATCTGGATGTTGCGTACATGTTGCAAAAGTTTTCAAGTGTTTAATGTGTTTTTTACAAGTGTTTCAGACGCATGTTTCATCTGGATATTTCAATAGTAGATCGGGTATTGTACATGTTGCAATGGCGCCGGTGACTGGTGGACAGCAACTTGCCGCAGGGCTTCGACTCCTACCTCGCGCCTTCCTCGCATGGCGCGCCTCACCCTCTCCTCTCCCTTCCCTCCCTTTAGTTCCCTCCATCTCGCCGTGGTAGTTTGAGCTCGGCAGGAAACCCTACCCAACCAGCACGCAAACGCCCGTGGAGGTGGTGGCCCCAGGTGGGCCAACGGCAACGCGATGCTGCGTAGTGGCCCCGGAGCAAGCTGAGGTCCGAAAACTGAGAGACATTGGTTAACAAAATTGATTTATTGCATTGCTCTAGTTCATTGCATTTTACATGATCATTAGCCAATGCACAAATGTGCATCTCCTGAACAACAGAATTCACAAAAAAAAAAATTACATGAGAAAGCACACAACTCTAATTGGTTTTTGCCATTACCAAACTTAGGTTTCACCAGTTTGCCATCCCACACAATTGGGATTCGCCAAATTTCCATTATCGAACTAGTGTCATGCTAGAATGCCATATGCACCTATTCTCTCCATTAATCATTTTTCCATTTTTCGCACAAAGCATTCTAGCATCTGATGCCTTTTCACGACGATAGCGATGACCATCTGCTGCATCAACAGAAGTTGCTTAGCACAAAGCATTCTAAGGGATACCCTAATATAAGCTGCATACTATAAAGCATACACGGTAAAGCACAGTTGAAGTCCGAATTGCACATTTTGATATATAGACTTATCAGTTCTTGCATTGCATGGCATACACAGGCATGAAAAACACAGTTGAAATCTGAACTGCAGATCCAGATATTGTAGAGTATTTTTTTCTTTTTTTCAAAAGGAAGGATATTGCAAACTATCAGCTCTCGCATTGCATAGTATACAATGAAAAACACAATTGGAATTTGAACTGCATTACTGTTTAAATTGACATGAAAAAAGACAACATATACAGGGTAAAAACTTAACTATAAGATTTGCTTAAGTTCAGGAACTGGCAGCAAGCCTAGACTTACCAACAATAGAACCCTAGTTGAGCATTATGTTTGAATCAACATCAATTTGCACCTAAAGTGGAACAAAGCATGCACTAGAAGCATACTAAATTCACCACTAACAAACCTTTACAATTTTGGAAACATATCAAGTTCAAAGTACTTACATGCAATATTGTCAAACCATGTAATCGATCCTAGTCGCCATGGCACCGATCAGCCCGACTCAATTAATGGCAACTAATCATAGTGCATAGCTGATCACCATGACACTGATCAGCCCAACTAATCGCGATTAGTCAGTAACATTGCTTACATGGCGGTCCAGCTTATCAGTAAGTCCACCATGGCTGTGTATGCTCTCCCCAGAATCCTGAAAAGTACACACAGAAATCAGGATGAGCTTCTGCGAACGAAATATCTTCCCGACAGGTGATCTCAAACATAAAGCACCCTAAATGCTCCTCGAATCCAATCCACTAGCAAAAAACCCTCCAACTCGTACACGAAAACAAAGATTTCCCTGTATTTAATAGTTAAATACCGGCAATGTATAAATGTTAACAAACTGTGTACTGGCCTGGCTGACTTACTTCAATTGCCCAACTATCAGCAAACATGAGGTATTCACATGGAAGCATCTCCACTTGGCATCTGTCTTCCTAAATACACCTAGCGGAATAGAACGCATAAACTCTGTTGGAAATCTCATGGAACAACTAATTAGGTTCCCTCCTGTAGTTAAACACATCAGATGGTTGCTTCACATGCACACCCATCTCACCCAGCAGTGAAAGCATCACAGAATTCTGTTGATATGAAATATCATCTTCAGCAACATGACCAGGCTCACTTGATCTTACAAGGCTCATCCCCACATCTTTCTCCACTACTTTCTCCTTCATCACCTTCCTTACTTTTTCAACATCATCCCATCTTCCTTCCGCGGCATAAATGTTTGACAGAAGCACGTAGGAGCTGAACTCTGTTGGCTTCATTTCAATCATCTTAGTTCCAATAAACTCTCCAAGTTTGGAGCTGTCCTGAGTTCGAGAGGCTGATATTAGGGCACCCCATAATGCAGGTGACACCTTTGCCTGCAAATTCTTGATGAGCTTCTCCGAGTCTCTGAGCAATCCAGCACGACCAAGGAGGTCCATCATACAGCCAAAGTGCTCAGCCTTGGGCTCAATATTGTAGAACCTGACCATCCTATCAAAACACCACCAGCCTTCAAGCACCAAGCCTCCATGAGCACAGGAGCTCAAGATGCAGATGAAAGTCGTCTCATTGGGCTGAGGCCCATTCTTCTCCATCTCCATGAACAACTCAAGGGCCTTCTCACTGTGCCCATGCAATCCATAGCCGATGATCATTGAGTTCCAGGATGCAACACTCTTTTCGGTCATCGAATCAAATATCTCCTTCGCTGTCCCCATCACCCCACACTTGGCATACATTGTCAGCATAGCAGTAAGAAGTAGTACGTCAGGAAGAAGTCTCTCCCACCTCTCACGAACCAAGCGATGCACCCACCTTCCCCTCTCAAGATCACCCAGGTTCCCACAGGCGGTCAAAATGCTCACAAATGTCTTCTCATTTGGTTTGCTTTCCCCCACAGCCATCATCGCATCGAACAGATTCAAACACTCACGCCAGTCCTTCACCTTTGCGTATAGCGCAAGAATGACATTCCATGACACCGTGCTCCTTCTTGGCATGCCATCGAAAACCATTCTTGCCATCTGAATGTCCCCAGTCTGGGCGTACCCATCCAGCATCGAGTTCCATGACACAACATCCCTCACAGGCATTACATCAAACATTTTCTTGGCGTTCTCCATGTCCCCGCACTGAGTATACCCAGCAAGCATTGAGTTCCATGTAACCACGTCCCTCTCGGGCATTCCATCAAATAGCTCCCTGGCGTTGGCCATATCCCCCTCCGCCACGTACCCAAACAACATGGAATTGTACGTGAAGAGATCCCGCTCCGGCATTTCGTCGAACAGGCGCTGCGCCGCCGGGAGGAGGCCCATGCGGAGGCAGGAGCGGAGGAGGGTGTTCCAGGTCACGGTGTCGGGGCGGGGGATGTCGGCGAGGAGGCGGCGCGCGGAGGCCGTGGAGCCGTGGGAGAGGTAGAGCGAGAGGAGGGAGTTGGCGAGGCGGAGGTCAGAGGGGAGGTGGCCGGAGGACACGGCGAGGGCGTGGAGCGCGCAGGCGTCGGGGAGGGAGTGAGCACGGTGGTGCTTGGCGGAGGAGAGGAGCAGGAGCGTGAGGTGGTCGGGCGGGAGGAGGCGGAGGAGGGCCGGGAGGCGGCGGGCGGAGACGTGCGGGAGGAGGGAGTTGAGGAGGCGGGAGGCGAGCGCGGGGTAGGAGGAGGAGAGCCCGGAGGTGAGGACCACTGCCATGGACTGGAGGAGCAGGCGGCGCGGCGTGGTCGGCCCAGCGGCGGCGCGGAGACGCGGCAGCAGGGAGGTGATCGCCGGCTGTGAGCGGCGGCGCGTGTGGCCCGGTGTTGGGGAAGGCATCGGAGGTTGTGGCGGGAATCGGAGCTGGGAATGTTTGTACTGTATTTGATACGCTAAATGAAACATCGGAGTGAACAAGAGCATGTCCACAATAACTGGGGTGCAGGCGTTCAGTTATATAAAAAAAAAATCGGGTTGAATAATTTAGGTTTTAAGAAATTTGGGTTTCCAAATTTGTTATTCAAAATTTGTCTTGAGAAAATAGCATATGACATTCAATGCCTATAAGTTATTCAGCCATGAATTAAAAATGTAAACTATAATGAATGGCTGTGTAATCTATCATTATCTATGACAATGTAATATGGATGCCATAAAAACCAAGGTGGCCATATAGACTGGGCTATCAACACTATCAAAACATGGAAGATTAATTTGTGGCTACTCATTAATTTTTGCTATGTACCTCTTTGGGAGGGGGATATGGCTAATCTTAGGTGCGCCATGCCATGGTGACGGTGACAATGATGTATATACTTAGATCTTTGCGTTACAATCGAATTATAGACCAGGCTATCGGCACTATCAAAACATAAAAGATTCATGGCTACTTCATAATTTGTGCTATTACCACTTTTTTGGGGGTGGGTTGATATGGCTAATCTTAGATGCCATGCCACGGCGGCGACGATGACAATGATGTATATACATAGATCTCTGGGTTACAATAGAATTATAATCAAGTTATCTTTATGAAGCGTGGACACAAGATTATTACAGGGCACCTGAAGGGCGCCTAGTATTACTAATAGGTGTTCAATGGAGCCTCGAAATTAGTTCTCACAAGGCACAATAGAGAGAAAGATAAGTTCTATGAATTTTCATAAAAAAAATTAGAAACATTTGCCCATCAGTTTTGTAGACTCTATCATCATTGGCAATAATATCTACTGGATCTATTATATTTTCTAAAGACTTAGCCACATATGTCATTATGACTATAAAATAAAGTAACTCTACATATACATCAAAATTACACGCCTATGCTATTATAAAATATAATATAAAATAAACTCTATGCATCTAAATTACCCACCTATATCATTAAGATAATCAAAATAGCCCATAGATATGTACCTAAATTACCCACCTATATCATTAAGATAATCAAAATATCCTCTCCTACATATTTCTAAATTATCAATATCTTCTATTAAAAAATAAATAACCATGAATGCGCCTATAATGTTTCTACATACTCACTTATACTACTACTGATGTAAAAAAGAACTAGCTCAAGGTAAACATACATGTTGCATGCCACCATGCGGAACAAGTATACTTTCATTCATGTATGAGCTATAAATATACTGCTTCCATCTGAAAGTATAAGGTGAAAGCTCTAGTTTGGTTTTGGTGAATTGATGAAACCCTATATGCTAACCTAGTTTATCTCATCAAGTGAAGATGAATACTTGAGCTTTGATGAGATAGATGATGAGAAGATGGCTCTCTTTGTCAAGAGATTTGGCAAGTTCATGATGAAGAAGGGCTACCGTGCTAGAAGAAAAAAGTCTTCATCCAAAAACAAGTAAGAGTCAAGAAGGTGCTTCAATTGTGGAAGCAAGGATCATATTGTTGCTCAATGCCCATACAATAGCGACAATGATGATGACAGCAAGAAGAGCAAGAAGAAGGACAAGAAGGAAAAGAAAGAGAATAAGGACAAGATGACCATTAAAAGAAGAAGAAAAATGGTGGTTCATATGTGGCCACTTAGGATAGTGATGCTTCCTCAAGTGATGATGATGATAGTGATGATGACAAGACCACCAAGAAGAAGGCTCTTACAAGCATTGCTATCAATGAGAAGCCTTCTCTCTTCAACTCTCCATCATGCTTCATGGCTAAGGCCACTAAGGTATAAACTTGTGATGATGGATGTGATGAGGAACATGATAATGAAAGTGAAAATGACAATGATGATAAACCCACTAAAGATGAACTAATTGATATGTTAGAAGATGCTAAAGAACATTTTGACATTAAGAGAAGGAAATGAAAAGACTTGCGAAAGAAACTAAAAGCCCTTAAGCAAGCCTTTGATGAGCTCAATGCATCTCATGAGAGGCTAGAGGAAGCCCATGAGAAGCTTGGCAAGGCTCACAAGAAGCTTGAAAAAGCTCATTCCTCTTTACTTAATGAGCAAAATGAGAAGAAGCATGTTGTAACATGTGATAAAAGCTTAACTTGTGATATAATTGATGAATCATTCTATAACCCTATCATTGTTGCTCCCACTAATCCTTCTTGTAGCACATCTACTTCCACCTTATCTAGTAGTGATGGTTTCACTTGTGAGGCCTCACTAATGGTTGAGAATGAGACCCTCAAAAAGGAGGTCAATGAGCTCACTCGCGCCTTAGGCAAAGCCTATGGTGGTGAGGACCGCTTGCTTATGTGCTTGGGTAGCCAAAGAGCTTCTCTCTACAAAGAGAGATTGGGCTATATCCCCAAGAAAGGTAAGGCGGCCTTTGCTCCTCACAAGACTAGTTTTGTGAAGAACAATTATCGGTTTTGCACTAATTGCAAGCAAGTTAGTCATGTAGAGCAAAAATGCATGAACAAGAAGTCTCAAGCCAATGTATCCTCAATTAAGTTTGATTCTTTCTATGTGCTTACTAAGGGTGCAAATGGTGTGAAGGCTAAGTTTATTGGTGCACCATGGATGGGCTCAAAGAAGAAAGTCATTTGGGTGCCAAAGAGCTTGGTCACTAACCTTCAAGGACCCAAGCAAGTTTGGGTACCTAAAAAGAATTGATCTTCTTTTATAGGTCAATTACAAAGTCAGAGGAAGACATTGTGTTCTTGATAGTGAGTGCACTCAACACATGATCGGTGATGCAAGAATGTTCAACTCAATCAATACCAATAGCAATGATGATTATGATAGTATCACATTTGATGACAATGGCAAAGGCAAGGTCAAAGGGCTTGGTAATATTGCAATATCCAATGACATGAGCATATCTAATGTGTTGCTAGTTGAGAGTTTGAACTTCAATTTGGTATCCGTGGCTCAATTGTGTGATCTTGGATTCAAATGCATATTTGGGGTAGATGATGTAGAGATCATAAGTGTAGATGGCTCTAACTTGATCTTCAAAGGCTTTAGATATGAGAATCTATACTTGGTTGATTTCAATGCTAGTGAAGCTCAATTGTCAGCATGCTTGTTCACTAAGTTTAATATGGGTTGGTTATGGCATAGAAGGCTTGGTCATGTCGGAATGAAACAATTGAATAGATTGGTTAAGCATGACTTGGTTAGAGGCTTGAAAGATGTTGTGTTTGAGAAGGATAAGCTTTGTAGCTCTTGTCAAGCCAGCAAACAAGATGGAAACACCCATCCTAAGAAAAGCATGATGAGCACTAGTAAAGCATTTGAGTTGTTGCACATGGATTTATTTGGGCCAACACAATACACTAGCATCGGTGGTAACAAATGTGGCTTTGTGATAGTGGATGACTACACTAGATACACATGGGTATTCTTTTTAGTGGACAAGAGTGATGTGTTTGCAATATTCAAATCATTTATCAAGGGAATTCACAATGAGTTTAAAATAACCATTAAGAGAGTTAGAAGTGACAATGGTAGTGAGTTCAAGAATACAAGAATTGATGAGTTATGTGATGATTTTGGAATTAGACATCAATTCTCGGCCAAATACATTCCACAATCAAATGGCCTTGTTGAGAGGAAGAATAGAACATTGATTGACATGATAAGATCAATGTTGAGTGAGTACAATATGAGTCAATCTTTTTGGGCCGAAGCTATCAACATGGCTTGCTATTGTAGCAACCGCTTATATTGTCACCCATTGAAAGAGAAGACACTATATGGGCTCTTGAATGGTAGAAAGCCCAATTTTACATATTTTTGGGTCTTTGGTTGTAAATGATATATCTTGAAGAAAGACACTAGATTGAGCAAGTTTGAGAAGAAGTGTGATGACGGATTCCTACTTGGATACTCAACCATTAGCCAAGCATATAGAGTTTGGAATTTGGCAAGTGGTACTCTTGAAGAGGTTCATGATGTTGAATTTGATGAAACCAAGGGTTCCCAAGATGAGAATGAGAACTTGGAAGATGTTAGAGGCATTCAACTTTCAAATGCCATGAAGAACATCAATGTTGGTGACTTGAGGCCTAGGCAAGTGATTGATGAAGAAGATGATCAAGTGCAAGTGCTCTCTAACTCAAATGTGCAAGATGATACTAATCAAGCAAGTTCAAGTGAATCTCATGACAATGTGCAAGATCAACAAGTGGCTAGTACATCATCCCAACCCAATGATCAAGCAAGTGCAAGCAATGTTCCTCTTCTCCAACCAACCAATATTGCAAGAGATCATCCATTGGACACTATAATTGTATATATCTCTAGAGGTGTACAAACAAGATTCAAGATTAGCTTTATTTTATGAGCATTTCTCATTTGTGTCATCCATTGAACCTAAGAAGATAGATGAAACATTGAAGGATGTTGATTGGATGAATGCAATGAATGAAGAATTGAACAACTTCACAAAAAATCAAGTATGGGAACTAGTTGAAAGACCAAAGAACCACAATGTGATTAGAACCAAATGGGTCTATAGAAACAAGCAAGATCAAGATGGGATAGTGTCGATGAAATATGGTCGGTAGTCTACCGAGGGGTATGCCCACGGTAGTAGATGAATTGGTGGAGGTATGCGTGACACAAACCAGATGGTAACAGAGACACAAGGCACAAGATTTATGCAGGTTCAGGCCATTAGCTTGACGTAACACCCTACATCCTGTGATCTACTATTTTGTATTGATTGTGTATCAGATTCGATCTCCCATCTAGGGGACCCCTACCTCTCCTTATATACTCTAGAGGGGTAGGGTTACAAGGAAAATATCACATTTGGTATTATACAATAAATCACATCTTCATGTAGTATTGCGGTGCACGCCTTGATCTTGTGGGCTAGGCCACCTTTGGGGCACGACCCATGTCT